TTATTCTCTCTCTCTCTCCTACCTCTCTTTATCTATCTATTCTATCTATCTATCCAGTCATGTTAGCTCGGGAATTCTGGGAGTTGAAGTCCACAAGTCTTAAACTTGCCAAGGTTGAAGACCCTGGGCCTAAATATTATGAAGCCGCTAACGGACGCAAACCAATTTTGGATATCTTGGATGGTTTGTTCTGCATTCTCACCCCTGGTGCATCCCGGGAAAAAGTTGTGTGTTCACTACCCAGCTTAGCAACGGCGCTGTTTGTTTTCTGCTGGTTGTCGCTGAACCATGTTAGGTTCATTAAAAAGAAAACACCACGTGGGCCAAACTTAAGAGAGGCCAGTCCATCAACGGTCCGCCTGGAGGGTTGCAACAATGGACACACCTCACAGTAAGGAGGAGGGCTGCGTTTTGTTGGCTTGCCACCATCTGCAAACATCTACCCTGGCTTCAAAGAATGGTCTCTTTGTTCTTGCTCTGTGTGCCAAACCTGATCGGAGTGGGGCAGCCTGCCAACAGCAGAAGGAAAAGGCTTTCGTTGCCCCATGGAGACGCCGCCGGGACGGTGTCTCGAAGCCGTCCAAATCCTCCGGCTTTCTTTGGGCCAAGCCCAGCTTCTGATCGGATGGTGGCCCATTTTTGAGCCGGGATACTTGGATGCCCCCAAAACAAGCTTTGAACTTCGACCTGCTGAACACGGCGGTGGCTTGCTGGGGTGTGACTCCCCTCGACCGAGGCCGGGTCGTGGCAGCCGGAACACAACAACATGGAACCCGCGGTGACGTTGAAAGGCTCTGGATGGTAAACAGCAACATGGGAAGTTTGCCTTGTGCCGGTTGGCGCATTGGAGAGCCACGGAGGCAGGTTGGGAAGGGGTGAAGGAAGAGAGGAGGAGGAGGAGGAGGAGGAGGAGGAGGAAAGGAAGGATGCCAAGGTATTTAGGAGGGGGTCGGGGGGGGGGGGGTGGGGGGTCATTTGGCAACTGGAGGGGTGCACAGTTTCTCGTACAAGCAGATACGATGTGCCCCGTTGTCCCTGTGGGGAGAAATCTGTATTTTAGCTGTATAGATTTGCAAGGAGGAGGGAGGATAAAAACGCAACTTTTGCAATCTCACTAAACTTTTTTGGGGGTATTTTTCTTCTTGTTCTGCTTCTGCCCCAAAGTTTATTCCTCCTGATTATCTATCTATCATCTATCTATCTATCTATCTATCTATCTATCTATCTATCTATCTATCTATCTATCTATCTTTCTTTCTTTCTTTCTTTCTTTTTCTTTCTTTCTTTCTTTCTTTCTTTCTTTCTTTCTTTCTTTCTATCATCTATCTATTGATCGATCTATCTATCCATCTATCTATCTATCTATCTTTCTTTCTTTCTTTCTATCATCTATCTATCGATCGATCTATCTATCCATCTATCTATCTATTTACATTTGCGCAAAGCGGTTCTCGCCTCAGATGTGGAAATTCATTCAATCAGGAAGCTTGGGAGATATTTTTTTTTAAAAAAACTTTGATTTTCTCCCCCTCTTCCCGGTCGTTTCTCCACTGCTCCCCTCCCCCCCACAAAAAAACCCCAAAAAACACCTCTCGCTCTGCCCACCTTGGCTTCTATCCAAGCAGCGGACTCTGCGCATGTTCAGAGACCCTGCTCTCCTCCTCCTCCCCCTCCTCTTCCTCCTGCCAAATGGGTCAGCGGGTTTGGAAGGAAGGGGAGAGCGAAGGAGAGAAACAAAGGGAAGCGTGGGTGCGTCACACACACACACACACACATACACACTTGCCAGTTGTTCGTCTGGTTTTGCCGTGTCTGGTCTTCCACGCCTCCTGGCATTTCTTCCCGGGGACATAATGCCCCCCCCACACCTGTCAACACCTCAGAGGTGTTTGAAGCCACACCTGGGCACGAAATCCCCCTGTTGGGTCTGTTTCCAAAATGAAAGAAAGCTTGGCAAACCATTTCGGACATTTTTTTTTTTTCCCCTCTTCCTTCTGCGAAACACAGGACGTTTTGTCTCCGTTGCCAAATTCCTGGAACTATGAAAGGCAGGAGAACGGGGTTGCAGTTTTTTTTTTTTTATTAGCGAGTTGTCAGTGTTTTAATTTATTTCGTTCCTCCCGTGGTCCAAAAAACACCAAACAACAACCCTACATCAGCAGAGGAAAGTGGATGGATGCTCACCTTTGAAGAATTAATTGTGGGTTCATTTTAAAAACTTTCTGGTTGTAGGTTTTTTTTTTTTTCTATTCACCTGCTGGAGGTGTTTGGGGAAAATCTGATTATTATAAAAAAAAATTTTGTATTTGAGTTGCAATGTTGTTGTTTCCAAAGTAAGCCGCTAGTCCTCAAGAGGTCTGAAAACCTCCAGGATGGTTGAAGGTGGTCGAAGGAAGCTTGAGTTGATGATTCTAACGCTGCTTTGCAGGCGGAGCGATGGGTCTAACTGGGTCTAACTGGTTTTCCTTCCATTTCCTCCCAGATCGACGTGAGAGCATTCGCCCTCATGGCTCTTCTCGCTTGCGTCTTGGGCCGACCTTATCATTTTTGCTCCGCCGGCCTGTGAGCTGAGATGTTCTCCAAGCGAAAGACGCGCAACGTCCAAGCCACTTGTCCCAACGTGCTGACCCCTGACACAATCCCCTCCTTTTTGATCCCACCCAACCTCGCCACCCTCCAAGGCCGCCGGGCAGCTGGGAACCCCAGGCTGGGTGATGCATCAGCCCGGCCGGTCAAAAACGAGGGCGCTGCGGTGCAGGAGGAGAGACCGCAGGCTGGGACGCGATGCCCAGGCACTCCCGCCATGATCCAGCTCCCAACCCCGATGGACTTGGGGTGCCTGCCCGAAAGCCCCAACACCTGGCGGCGGGAATCGCTGTTCCATAGCCAGCCCCCGCCCCACCGAGGGCAAGTTGGCTGCTTTTCCTCCCCACGGACAAGGCCCCTTTTGCAGCCCACTCCAGGCCTGGACAGCGACACTGCCTCTTCCACGGAAAATTCCCCGTACAATTCCCCCGTGCCCATGCGTCCTCTCGATGGGCTCCTGCCGGGCCACGGTTATGGGCACCGGCGGCGTTTGGCCTGCCGTTCCCCGCACAACCTGCGTCCCAGCTCCTTCTCCACGGAGGACACCAGCTCCACGGACACCAGTCCCTGCTGCCTGCGCCGCGAGGCCGACCCTCCCTGGATCTCGCCGGGTGCTTGGTCCCTGGCGCCGCTCTACTCCCTGGGCTTGATCCGCTGCCGCCAGCGGCTGACCAAAGAGGTCACGTTGACGGTCAGCCAAGGCGGTCAGCTGCGTCTCTCCAGCGAGTACCTCCAGCCGCCGGGCAGCCTGCGGGTACGGCTGGTGAGCGCCGAAGGCTTCTACCCGCCGCAGGGCAGCCCTCGCCACCTCCACTGCTGCGTGGGCCTGCAGCTGCATCCCGGCCCAAGTCAAAGGCAGCGCAGCGCCATCATCAAGAGGACACGCAACCCCATCTTCAACGAGGACTTCTTCTTCGAGGGGGTGACCCCCGAGGAGCTTCCCCGGCGCAGCCTGAGGATCAAAGTGCTGAACAAATCCTGCAGCCTTCGGCGGGACGTCGTGTTGGGCGAGTGCGATGTCCCACTGGATTCTCTTCTGCCCTGAACCAGGAGGGGCGGTCCTTGGCAGAGAAGTGCCGGGGTTGGTATAGATGTCCTCACGGACGGCAGGAGGGGCAATGACTGCCCTTCAATGCCCCTCTCGGTAAATTTACTCCTTCATTTACTCCAACTAACTAAGAAGCTAAGGATGAGCTTCCATCCACTCCTGGAGAATCTACACCTCAATGCAGGTGGTCCTTGACATAGCAACCGTTCAAAGTGATGGCGGTGCTTCCAAAAGAGGTTTATGGCCAATCCTCGCACTTACAACAGTCACAGTCTCCCCAGGGTTACTTGATTAAGAGGAAGGCACCTTGGGGGTCACGTGATCGCCATTTCACGCCTCCCCAGGGCAAGCAATGTCAATGGACTCAGTACACGATGCACGGTTTGCTTAAGGATACGATTCATTTAATGGCCGTGGCAAGGAAAGTCCACAAACCAGGGCACAACAACCGTATCCATTACATCTCCACCCCAGTGATGGGTCCTAAGTGGAGTGCCAGTGTGTTTGATCCAGGCAGCAGCCACCAGAGGGAGCTCTGCCACCCTGAGTATCACTGCCACCTTGAGGCAGACGGTGGTATAGCAGGAATCGGTAGAAAACCAACCAAGTTCCACCAGGTTTTAATTCAAGCCATCTTTGCTTGGAAATGTCTGCACCCCCCGTCTTTCTTAATGGTGGGGGAGCCCCCCAATAATTGAAGACAACCCCAGAATTGCGGTGTCGCCACTGAAGGTTCACACACCAGCTTTGCAAGGGGTTGAACTGGCCTTAAACCAGGGGGTTGGACTAGATGGCCTCAGCGTATCCCAAGCCTGCAATTCTCTCATTGTTCTTCTCAGAGAGAGAGGCTGGCTAGAAAGTTGAGGGAGCCGCTTCCTTTTTTAGAAATGCCATCTTCGGTTGAAATCCCTGTTGTCTAACTTCACACCAAGTTGTTTTAGGTATACGTCGGGTTTAAGTAACAAAATTGCCACTCTGGGTTCCATTAAAAATATAAAAGTATAAAGTTTTTTGGGTTGTTTTTTTTTTACACTTGGGCTTTGTTGTTCAACTGGGATACTTAATGAAGTTGGTTTGTTTTTAAACTCTTTTTTATACAGCTGCCCCAAAGATCCGGTTTCTGACTTATCCAAATTTTGCCGCCAGAGGGCAGCATTTCTTTTCACAGTTGGAAAAAAAACCACTTGCAGCCACTAGAGGGAGCTCTTTACTGCTTAATTATTATTTTTTCTACCTTGTATTGTAGATTCCCAAGTCAAAAGTTGCACTAAAATAAGTGAATCGCAAATTAACTAATACCAAAAAAAAATAAAATGCACATCTTTTTAAAGGGCATTTTTTCCCCCTGCTTTTTCCTGTTGCAATGCCCAATTCTTGGCACTGGGGAAGCTTTACAAAATTTAAAAAGGGGATTTCACTGGAAGTTTTTGTTTCGCTTTTTAATCATTTTCGTACTTTTAGAGTCCTAGTTTATTATTAGTTTCGATGATGCTTGCCATTCCTGATCCAACCACACGAGGGCGAGCTAGGATCAGCATTCTAGTTTTTCCAACTTTCCTAGAAGGAAAAAAAAAATCTATGTTTTTCTACTTTTATCCTTGGCAAAATCTGTTTTGGCTCACGTAACCGCTTCCATTTCTGTATCGATTTGCTAACTTTTAACCAAGAGAAGTCAGACTAGGACAGCCACCTCCTCCTCTTTCAAGAATTGGAACATTTTAAATTTATGCCGAGCCACACTGAGGACTAGTATCCCGACGGGCCTTTCGTTTCCAAGCTTATTGCGAATGCAACGGTTCGGTGGGAGTTAAGAAAGGGTTGAGCCCAGGAACAGCAATGCATCCATCGAAAAGAGCATATATATATTTGACCCTCAGATTTAATAAATAGGGTAATACAGGCTCAAGAGTGAAAAGTAAATTAGCTGCTTTCTAGGTCATAATTTATTAAATTTATAGGTCCTTAGATCTTACCTGCTTAAAACAGGGCAAAACACACCCAGCACGAAAACGCATCGTGCAAATTTGATTATTTTTTTTTTCCATTTTGACCGCAGAAGACTTTCATTAGCAGGGTGTCACCTTCAGATTCTTCATTAAGAGGCCTTGATAAGATTAATAACAAAGAAAAGCCGTTAATAATACACTTTGGGTGGCCCTAATGAGCACTGCAAACTTTCTCCAAAGTTTTAAAAACGTTGGCACTTCAAAAAATGTTGGAATCCTTGAAAGTTGGACAGCCTGTAAGTTAAAAAAAAAATAGGAGGAAGGTGCATTGGATACGTTGGCTGCCTTATTTCTAAAATAAAAATAAAAATCTTAAAGGGATTAAAAATCAAAGTTATTATTTGAAGGCGAACTAGTTCCGTTGGCCTCTCTGTTCCCAAAGTTTAGTTTTTTGTGTTTCTCCTTTGGATTGGATATCCTGGGATACCCACTGTGGATTGAAACTTTTATTGGGGATTGAATCTACCAGCTGCAAATTGTTGGTGCTTCGCAAGCCCTCCCTACAAGGTAGGACAGGAAGTGAAAGAGAGCGAGGTCTTATTCTTGCAAGAGGAAGAGGAGCAAATGAAGAGATTCCAAGTCTATTTTTATTCTTACATTTTTTTGATCAACATTTTTGAATACAGCGTTTTGTCCAAGTATAGAACAGAATAGAATTCTTTCTTGGCCAAGTGTGATTGGACACACAAGGAATTCTGTCTTGGTGCAAAGGCTCTCAGTGTACATTAATAGTGATAGTAGTGCAGACTTTGTAAATCGTTGGGACAGTGTTGAGGGAGTTATTTGTTTAGCGGAGTCATGAGAAAAACTGTCCTTGTGTTGTCTAGTTGTTCTGGTGTGCAGGGCTCTATAGCCTTGTTTTGAGGGTAGGAGTTGCAACCGTTTATGTCCAGGAGGTGAGGGGGGGTCTGTAAATATTTTCCCAGCCCTCTTTTTGACTTGTGCAAATATACAGGTCCTCCATGGAAGGCAGGTTGGTAGTAATTCTTTTTTTCTTCAGTCTTAATTACTCTCTGGAGTCTTTATCTGTCCTGTTGGGTTGCAGAGCCAAACCAGACAGTTACAGAGGTGAAGATGATAGACTCAAAAATAAGTATAATGTCTTCAAGAAACAAAAACCACAGCTAATATTATAAAATATATCGTCCCATTTCCTAATCATAGTGCTAATCATTTAATAACACATGAACACGTTTCTTAATGTTTCACTCATTCATATTTTTAGAGTAAAACAATCTTTGGGAGAAAACAGAGAGCTGGCTGGGAAAATAAAATAAAATAACCAAACAGAAGATAGACTGGAAATCAGAAATATACCTGCTGAGCATAATAATCCCAGAGGGTTAATGATAAAGGAATTGCATACTTAGTTTTACACAGACTGACAGCAGCCGGGATTAGCTACGCAAAATTCTGGCAAAATAAGACTACCCCATCAGATGAGGAGGTAATCAGGAAAATTCTAGGTCTTGGTAACGTCCTAACTCAGGGGTGGCCAACCATTTGGACCTCAGGGACCACCAAACTCATCATTTTAAAATCCCGCGGACCGGAGACGCTGGGAAAATCCCCCAAAAAGTCTGCAGGAAAATCCCCCCACCCCGTTTTCCTACCGATCGATCGTTCTTTATTTGGGATCGCGGGATCCCAGCTCCAGCTCCGTTCTCAGGGGGAGAGAAAGAGAGAGAGAGGGAGAGACTTTTAGCTTCATGCAAGGAAAGCAGCAGAAGCCGCAGAAGTCTGTCTTTCTCTCCCCCAAACTCCGCCAGAAACGAGTCTTTGCTCCTCTCCAGCCCTTCCTGTCTGCTCTTAAAGGCCATTTCCTTCTGTTCAAACCCTCCTGCGTGGTCGTGGCTGTCCCACCCCGTGGATTTCCGCCCGCAAGCACGCCCGTGTTGGTGACGGAAGATTACTTTTCCTCTTCATCTGCGCAGGCCTTGAGGACCGGCTCCTTGCAACGTTTCCTCCTGGCACCCAGACTTCCAAACTGTTCTCCTCCCTGGGATCAAAAGCCGGTGAGTCACTCCAAAGTTATATAAGCAGCTGGCAGGGCTTGCTTGGTTGGCACCCTGAGGTTGGGCAGGACCCAGCCTGCTTTTGTGTGGGGTGGCAGGGACGGGCTCTCCACTAGGGGGCAGCACAGCCTGGGAGACGCCACACACACACACCCCCAGGGAGAACCCGGGTAGGAAAACAAACCAGGATGCGGCAAGGATGCGGCAAGAAAGAACCGTAAACACGGGACAAAAATCCACCCTTCCCCAATGTTGGACACCATCGGGGGGTTGTTCAGTTGAGGATTATTTGTTTTTTCCAGAGCACTGAAAGGAGATCTAGTCAGTTTCACGGCTATTTTATTTTATTTTTCTCGCGATTTCTGTCCCAGCTTTGGGACGAAGATTGGTTGGGGAATTTTTTTAAAAAAAACGCTTGTTTTGTAAGCAAATCTACTTCCTTCCCTGGATGGAGAGGCCAAAATAAACCCAGCTAAAGGGTTGGATTTGGGCCTTTGTTTTGTTTTGTTTTGTTTTGCAATTTCGTGGCCTCGGTGGCATCTCCTCTTGGCCCCCTTTCCTTCAACCAGAACCTGGATTTTTCATTCCCCAAGCTTTTCTCCAGGGAGAAACCAACCGGGCAGCTGGCAATCCTGAGACCTGAAACCTGGTGCAGGTGACGGAAAAAGGGCGGAGAGAGAGAAAGAGAGAGAGAGAGAGAGAGAGAGAGAGAGAGAGAGAGAGAGATCTGTAATCTCCCAGCTACACCTGTCAAATTGCTGCCTTCTAGCGAGCAGAGATTTATAAGACCAGCAGCCCCTGCAGGGCGGGGCGGATCCCCAGGTTGGCATTTCAGGAAGGTGGTTGGCATCTGGTCCAGGTGAGATGCCACCGTGCCGCCACCCCCGCCCCAAGCCTGTCTCACTACCTGAACCGCCCCACGCGGCAGCCCTGGGCAAGGACCCATGTTCCCCAGCAGCCGAGCACGTAAACAGTAATTATCCCCGGGGACTGGCGAGGGTGCGGCCGGCCGAAGGGGTGGGGGGAGGGGAGGACGGTGGGGGTGCCAGCCCCCCCTCCCCTCCTTCCGGGACAGGGTTGACTGGCGCCCTTTGGGAGGGCT